AAATGTATCAGGTAAGTATTTGTTTATATATTTACGTATAAAAGTATTAACATATAAACGTAGGTAAATACATACATTTAGGATGTACACAGGCATATATATATATAGACAGAGAGAAACATTTCTAATAATACACAAGAGAATCACCCTAAACAGCACTTTTTTCGAACGTAGCCAAAGTACCCTGGCTGCGTTAGGAAATTCAACCAAAACTCGACTAGGAATTAAGTAACTACTAGTCTCATTTAGTACAAAAAAAACAAACAAATATACTAACAATCTTTGTTACAATGAAAATTTCTAAACAATAAACATTTAGCTTTCCAAAAATAAATTAAATAATGCTTGTCCGCCATACTCAACAATATATATATATATATATATATATATATATATATATATATATATATAGATAGATAGATAGATAGATAGATAGATAGATAGATAGATAGATAGATAGAGATATAAATTTTCGTAGAAAATATTCATCCTATACGGAACCGTCATATAGCCTGACGTGGCCTTAATCGGTTATGAAAATTTCTCGGACATTCAGGTCGGTAAATGTTGTTAATACTGTTTATTAAAAAACAGAGCATTTACTTAAATATTTGTATCTATAAAGAGAATGTATAAACATAAAAATGTCTTAAAATAATTGTCGGACTTTGTCCATTTCATAATGTGTGATGTTATTTGTTTACATCTGGATACGCATTGAGCAGATATGAATGTACGTGAGAGAATCATGGAAGATTGTAGTTTAAAAGCAGTAAAATCGACCTTGCTAACCGAACGATCCTCTGTGGCCCAATCGGTTAAGGCACGTCAGGCTATATGATGGTTCCGTTCGATTCCTGTCGGAGGACGAATATTTTCTATGAAAATTTCTTGGACATTCAGGCCAGTAAATGTTGTTTAATACTGTTTATTATAAACAGAGCATTTACTTAAATACTTTATTTATTAAAAGAATGTATAAACATAAAATGTCTTAATATATATATATATATATATATATATATATATATATATAAGTAACGAAAATCTTGGTAATCTGTATGAATAATCCCAAGGAGGGTGAAATTCGGAGAGCTCATTGTTAAGTCAGAGTGAATAATTTAATTTAAAGAAAAAACAAACCATTTTAAGGTTGCATCGTTATAATTTATTTCACCAGACATTTTATTTTCTCTGGATTTTCAGACTTCACTTTCAAGAGTGAAAAAATGAATTTAAAATTTACAATTTTGAACAGCAGTATTAAGCTCATATAAGGTGAGATAGATTTTAACGTTTGATAGTAATTTAAATGTTTAAATAATCCACAAATAAACTAGATTTAATACGTGATAGTAATTTAAATATTTAACTTGTCCACAAATAAATTAGGGATTTAATATAAACTGAATATTATATTAATAAAAAAATATAAAATAAAAATAAAAATTTAATAAAAGTTATATTGTGAATAACGGTTAAGGTAAAATCTTTTTTAGTTAATGTCTAATTCATCAATTTAATCTGAAGTTATTTTTAGATGAGTAATATTTCTTAATTAAAGTTTAAGTTTCATTAAGATGAAGTAAGATTTGAAGGTGATAATAAAAGAATTTACTGTTTTTTACATACTCCACATATATATTTACGTAAATACACATACACATATATTCGTATACATGTACAATTACATATATAACCACATACACATATATCGATACACATCGGTATACACGCACATACATACACAAATATTTACATATACATATACATATTTCCACAGGCATCTATCTTTATACATATTTAAATTTTCTCTTAAATTTTACAGTTAACGTTAGATAGTGAAGTGTTTAAATTTCAAAAAAAATTTTAATTTTAATATTTTTAATATCGGGAATAATGGTCAAGGAGTAATATTTTTTTTAATTTAAATCTAAGTGATCAATTTAAATTGAAATTATCTCCAGATGAGTAAAATTTCTAATTTTTCAAGTTTAATTAGAAATTATTTCAAGATGAAGTAAGATTAGAAGGTAATGAAAGAATTAGATGCTGATAAAGAAATTTCTGTCTTTACATTAAATCTCTCTACACGCATATATATACCTATATATGTATACAACTATATTTTGTACATATATTCATATACACCACATATATAATTCCGTAAAAATATTTATACACATATACATACACTAATATATATGCAACACCATACACATGAATCGATATATATACACACACACATATATACATATTTACACGTATCCACATATACATATATACATATGTATATACATATACACATATATCCACATAACCATATACAAGCCAATATACACATTTTTATACATACAAATATGTACCCGCATACATGTGTGCATACAAGTATCCTCATATATAAATACACGCCTATATTTAACACCGTATATAAATATCTACACATATATATAAGTCTGCAAATATCATATGGAAACCTATAAATCATAGCCTAAAGGTAAGAATGTATATGAATGTACTTGTGTCTATATAAAACTGCATATATATTATATTATAACTGTTAATGATTGTTTTTTTAATGTGTAGTTAGTTATATTATGATGATTTTTGTGTCTGCATTTAAAGATCATCTCAATGCGTTGGTTTAGTAACTCATCCGGATATATATATATAAATAATATATATATATATATATATATATATATATATATATATATATATATATATTTCCACACGCATCCATCTTTATACAAGACTAATATAATAGCATCATCTACATGAAAAAAAGGTTAAAAATAATGGAAGCCTTATTAATAAAAACAAACAAACCAACACTTAATAATATCAACTTTCAACATGGACATAATATCTTGACCGTGTTTTGAAAAATGAAAACATTTCATAAAACATACATACAACAAACTATTTCTAATTTTAACAGTTAAAATATAATCCTTGAAAATGGCTAAATGTATAGCCGAAAGCGTAGTAGTTCTTAAAACATGACTTCGACTACTTGAACGCAAATAGGCAGGTACATATTGCGGAATCCGCGTCTCCAATCTCAGATTGCTTCGTCCTATGTGCACTGCTTCACATCGGCATTTGAATTTATAGACAACTAAAATTTTCTGAAAATAGGACAAATGATCCTTACTAAAAGAAGGGAACGCAGATTTTGTTTGAAAAGCAGTGCTCAACCTAAACAACATGACATGTAACAAGCTGAAATTCTGTCAGACAACAGCTGTCACTTCCTGCCAAGCCAAAATAACTTTAAATGATAGTACAGAGACTGTGTCCCAAAACCACTGCTTCCTTAAAACGTTTAATTTTACTATTAATAACGGGTTTGATGATATTGATGGGATATTCATTACTTTCAAATACTAGCAATTTCTCCATCTAACAAACTAAGAGAACAGTTCATCAAAACGCGATGAACCAATTATGCGGTCCTTGAGGGCAAAAGAACTCGAACATGTGTATAAGCTAGTGAATGTGGGTTTACAGAAAACCGCTGGTATAGAATAAGCTCAATAACCAACGTTTTCCGTAAATGCCGTCTACTTTGTTTAAATCTGTGTTTTATTTCTGTGGGTACAAGTCTATATATATATATATATATATATATATATATAGCTTATGCAAAACTAGGTAATCCGCATGGGTAGACCCAAGGAGGATGATATCCGGAGAGCTCAATATAGATTCAGAGCAAATATGTTTGAATAAAAAACAGACCCCTTTTTTCATTTCAACCTTTGGAAGTAAAGTCTTTAAAGGGGCGGTGGTCAAATAATTTAATACATGGAACCTTAAAAGTGGTCTGTTTCTTTTTCAAATATATATATATATATATATATATATATATATATATATATATATATATATAAAAAGTGAATATAGAAGTCAACACTTAGAGGCGACAGTCTGACAATCGTCAGGCCACATATGCATATGTGGCCTGACGATTTCTTATACATGAAACAGGCTGTCGCCTCTAAGTGTTGACTTCTATGTTCACTTTTTATATTTACACACGCTCTATCTCTGATATTGAGCACTTTTATTCCATAAATATAGCAACCTTAAGACTATATTTCTTTATATATATATATATATATATATATATATATATATATATAGATAGATAGATAGATAGATAGATAGATAGATAGATAGATTTAGAGTTAAACATTTATACATACCAAAAACCTTCCACTAAACTCATTGCCAAAATCTTTATTCCATTTTCTTTTTTACCATTTGTCTTTTCTTTAACTTTTCTTCATTTTATTTTTCACTTTTGTATTTTCAATTTTTAGTTCTTTATTAACCAAAATTTATATCTTTTATTCTTCTTTAAACATTTTTATTATTTTTTATTTAATTTTTTTTTTATTTTTTTTTTTTGCATCTTTTCTGTATTTATTTTTATTTTATTTCTTACCTTTTGTCTTTTTAACATCTTTTCTTAATTTATTTTTATTTCATTTCTTATTTATTGTGATATTTACATCTTTTCATAATTTATTTTTATTTTATTTCTTATTTTTTTGTTTTTTCACATCTTGTCTGAATTTATTTTTTTACTTTATATGTTATTTTAATTCACCTTCATTTATTTATTCCTTTCTTCAATATCTTTATTTACTTCTTTAACATCTTTTCTTGTTACCTTTTTCATTCGTCTTTATTCCCTTTTGTAACAACTTTTTAATTTTATATTCTTTTTCACTTATTTCTTTAACATCTTTTCTTATTTTTTTTTAATTCTTTTTTATTACTTCTTTAACGTCTTTTCTTGTTTTTATTTTATTTTTTATTTCCCTTAACATATCTCCTTATTTTTTATTCCACTTCTTTAACATATGCTATAGGGGGGGAGCATTCAGTTCGTTTTTATTTTTGTTTCTGATATATACATACGTTCTCTTTTTTTTGTTTCTTTTTATGCTTCTGTCTTTATTTTGAAGGGTTTTTCTCTTCTATTTGAGTTTTTTTTATTATTTCTCTCACTTGTTTTTCTCCTCCTATATTAATTCTTTCTTTCTTTCTTTCTTTCTTTCTTCTACATTAGTTCTTTCTTTTTCTTTCTCTTTTCTTTCTTTCATTTACATTAACTCTTTCCTCTTACTTTCTTTGTTCTAAATTAATTCTTTTCTTTCTCTCTTTTTTGAATATGAATTCTTTCCTCTTTCTTTCTTTCTTTCATTTTTCAACATTAATTCTTTCCTCTTTCTGTCTTTCTGAATTTCGCCTACATTAATTCTTTTTTCTTTCTTTCATTCTTTCTTCTACATTAATTCTTTCTACTTTTTGTCTTTTACTCTTTCTCTTTTCTTTCTTTCTGTCCACACTAATTCTTTCCTCTTTCTTCCTTTCTTATATATAAATTCTTTCCTTCTTCTCTATTTCTTTCTTTCTTTCTTTCTTTCTTTCTTTCTTTCTTTCTTCCGCATATTCATAAATATAACATTATCAATACAACATGACAACGACGATAATGGTATATATATATATATATATATATACAAGAATATTGTGATTAATTCTTGTATAAAATATATGCTGCCCTAATGTTTTTATATTTATATATATATATATATATATATATATATATATATATATGTTGATATATATATATTATATACAACATGACAAAGACGATAACGATATATTATATATATATATATATATATATTATATATATATTATATATATATATTGATATGTTATATTTAAGAATATCCTCAGATGGTTTATTAGACCGAAACGTCAGACGTTGACGTATTAACATTAAAACAACATAATCATTATATAAGGATTTTTTTGTTTTTTTTTTTTTCCGTATATATTTTTTCTTCATACTGTCGGATCTATATCCATATATTTGCTTGCATACATATATATATATATATATATATATATATATATATATATATATATATATATATATATATATATATATGAATCAAACCAATTATGCCAAACTGTCTCATTGTCCTACCAAAAATACCTGTGTTATTTTGCAGCTAAAGTTTGTTTGCATCATCATCTGGATAGTGGAGGTACATGGTGGTGCATAGAGAGTTGTAGAGCATGCAAATCCAATCAGACCAATCAAAATAAAATTGATCTCTCATATATGCCTGTTACATTTGAAATCAGAATACTGATCACAAAAATCATCTTTGGAGCTATGGATCTCAAAATAAAACGGAAGCCATCACAAATGATGCGCGGGAAGACGGAACCCCTCTTATCCGAGTAAGATGTGGCAATATGTAAGTATGTATATACGTATGCATAAACTATGTTTTTAGCATATGTTTAAATTTATATGATAAATATAACAGAGTAATTCCAGTTTATATTATATGTTTTTTTTTATTATTTATCTTAACAATAGATTATTTGATGGTTTGAAGTTTTATTGTGATTAGTATGGTGGAGTAATGGATAGTGATTGAGGAATCGGAGAGCCGAGTTCGAATTCCAGTCGAATCCATTAAATTCATTTACGTGCTAATACACTTGGAAAAGGTTGGAATCCTCTTCTTTACCCCCTCCCCAGCTCTGGGTAAATAGCAGAACTATTTAGCCTTGGATGGCAACTGGTCTAACGCAAATTGACCTACTGCGGAAAAAATCTGCCTCGTCAGTCATGTATCGAAAGATACATGATCGCCCCTAAACAATCTACATGACACAACTGATTGACTGAAATAAAAAAATTGTAAAATACATACCTAGTAATTTTTCACCTCCTCGTTCATTTCATGTTCATGTTTATATATATATATATATATATATATATATATATATATATATATATATATATATATATATGTTTGTGTGTGTGATAACAACCAGAAGCAACAACTATGCCAAGCTGACCAGTCGTCCTGTTAATAATACCTCTGTTGTCACCTGTGTTGGCTGCAACAATGTTTACATATCATCACCTGAATTGAAAAGACGCATGGCGTTAATCAGGAGAGTTGTAGGCCATGTGTATCCAGTCAACCCATTCAAGGATACAGAGATTATCTGTCATATATGCATGATAGCTATGAAATCGAATGCTGGTACCAAGAGTTACCTTAGGATCCTTTGACGCTGAATCGAGACGGAAGCCATTACAGGCGATGTGAAGTGTAAGGACTGACTCTCATCTGAGTAAGATGTGGTAATCACAATATATGTATGTACGTATGTTTGTATAGAAAAATATCGTTTTCAGACATCCTCTGCGAGTTTGGAATAGATCCCCTTTGCAGATAATCAAAGAACTGTTCTACACACGGATTCTTTTTTTTTTTTTTATACATGAAATCGGGATACTCAGCAAGGGAGAAAAAAAAGATGATATATATTTTTGCTTAAGAAATATAATTAGACGATTAAAAAGGCTAAAAATATGATCTTGTTCAGGTGACGTTGAGTTTTAGCAGCGTGGAAAAATCTCGGGAAAAAAAAACTTTGAAAAAAAATCAATAATGTCAAAGTTTGAAAAAAATTGAGGGAAGAAAGGATTTTTTCAATCTCTTTTTGATAAAAGTGTTTTTATCAACTTTAAATCTTTGAAAAATTTAAATCTTCAGGTTTTATTTTAAAGACTAAACTATAAAAATTAATTCGTATATTAAATTTGATGTACCGGGAAAAAAATTCATAATCATAGTATAAAAAAATTAACAATATGCGAAAATTTAGATAAGAATGGTATTTTTTATGATTGATTGTAAAGCAATCGATATTAGAGAAAATCCCTTTTTTTATATGAAGTGAAATTAAGAAATGATGTTAAAAAGTGTCATAAAAGTATCTTGAATGTTTGTATTCTTCACTGAAAAAGTTAAGCCTACCAATTTCCCCTACAACTTCGCCTTGCTTGGCCTTCTTTCTTTCACATAGATATCTTTCCACATTTTTTTCTTCGATTTTTGTCTCGTTCTTTTTCTTTTTTTTTCCTTTTTTTTCTTTCTTCTTATTTTCTTTTTTTCTTTTCTATTCCATATTCGTTCCCTTTTCATTTTGCTTTTTCTCGTCCTTTTTAATTCTAATACACGTTTCATTTCTTCTCATTTGATTTTTCTTCTTCTTCTTCTTCTTCTTCTTCTTCTTCTTCTTCGTCTTTTATTCTTTCTTATATCCGTTTCTTCTGGTCATTTTCTTTCTAACACACGTTTCATTTCTTCTCCTTTGATCACTTCTTCTTTTCGTCTTATTCTTCTTTCTTTCTTTCTTTCTTTATTTCTTTCTTTCTTTTTTATTTATTTATTTTATCCGTTTCTTTTTCTTTCTTGCTTTATTCTCGTCATTTTCTTTCTAACACACGTTTATTTCTCATTTGATTTCTGCTTCTTCTTTCTTTCTTTCTTTCTTTTTCATTTTTTCTTTCTTATACCCGTTTCTTTTTCTTTCTTGTCTTTTTATCATCGTTTTCTTTCTATCACCCATTTCATTTATTCTGTTTTGCTTTTCTTCTTCTGCTTTCATAGTTTATTTTCATCTTGTCCCCTTCTTTTTCTTTCTCCTTCGCTTTTTCTTTCTCCATCGCTTCTTATTTCGTCTCAGTTCATTTTCTTCACTTTCTTCAATTTTCATTCTTGCATCTTTACCATCTTTCTTTCCTCTTCTTTATTCTATTCTGAATTTTCTTTTTTTTTAATTCCCTCTTCTTTTCTTTCACTTTCATTTCCAACTTTCTTCATTTTCTTCTTTTCTTTCACTTTCTTTTCCGATTACGTCTTTCTTGACCTTCCCAACAAGTCTATTTGACCTTTTCCCAAATAGCATTTTTCTAATCGGTTTTGTTCCTTCCTTTATATTATGTTCAATTCATCTGCACATCTTTTAATTTCTCTTCTTCTCGCTCCTCTTCTTTCTCCTCCCACTTCCCAACCACTTATCACTCTCTCTTCTTTCTTTTCCTTCACCCCATCCACCTATCGACTTATCTTTCTCGCTTCTCATCGTTCACCTCCTCCTTCACCAATCTATTTATCTTTCTCGCTTATCTTTCTTCTCCTCATTCTACTCCACACCCCCTTTACTGATCTTCCTCGCTTCCCTTCTTTCTCCTCCTTCACCCCTCCAACCATGTGCTTATCTTTCTTGCTTCTCTTCTTTCTCCCCTCTCTCCCCTCTCTCCCCTCCTCGTCTCATTTACTGATCTTCCTCTCTTCCCTTCTTTCTCCTCCTTCACCCCTCTAACCATTAACTAATCTTTCTTACTTCTTTTCTTTCGCCCCCTCTTTCTTCTCCTCGTCCCATCTACTTATCTTTCTCGTTTCTCTTTTTTCTCCCCTCATTCTCCTCCACGTCCCATTTACTGATCTTTCTCTCTTTCCTTCTTTTTCCTCCTTCACCCCTCCACCCATCTACTTATCTTTCTTCTTTCTCCCCTCTTGCTCCCTCCTCGTCCCATTTACTTATCTTTCTCTCTTTCTTCTTTTCCTCCTTCACCCCTCCACCCACCTACTTATCTTTCTTCGCTTCTCTTCTTTCTCCCCTCATACTCCTCCTCGTCCCATTTACTGATCTTTCTCTCTTTCCTTCTTTTTCCTCCTTCACCCCTCCACCCACCTACTTATTTTTCTTACTTCTCTTCTTTCTCCCCTCTTACTCCTCCTCGTCCCATTTACTGATCTTTCTCTCTTTCCTTCTTTTTCCTTCTTCACCCCTCCACCCACCTACTTATCTTTCTTACTTCTCTTCTTTCTCCCCTCTTACTCCTCCTCGTCCCATTTACTGATCTTTCTCTCTTTCCTTCTTTTTCCTCCTTCACCCCTCCACCCATCTACTTATCTTTCTTCTTTCTCCCGTCTTACTCCTCCTCGTCCCATTTACTGATCTTTCTCTCTTCTTCTTTCCTCCTTCACCCCTCCACCCACCTGCTTATCTTTCTTACTTCTCTTCATTCTTCCTCTTACTCCTCCTCGTCCCATTTACTGATCTTTCTCTCTTTCCTTCTTTTTCCTCCTTCACCCCTCCACCCATCTACTTTTTTTTCTTTCTCCCGTCTTACTTCCTCCTCGTCCCATTTACTTATCTTTCTCTCTTTCCTTCTTTTTCCTCCTTCACCCCTCCACCCATCTACTTATCTTTCTTCTTTCTCCCCTCTTACTCCTCCTCGTCCCATTTACTTATCTTTCTCTCTTTCCTTCTTTTTCCTCCTTCACCCCTCCACCCACCTACTTATCTTTCTTACTTCTCTTCTTTCTCCCCTCTTACTCCTCCTCGTCCCATTTACTGATCTTTCTCTCTTTCCTTCTTTTTCCTCCTTCACCCTTCACCCACCTACTTATTTTTCTTACTTCTCTTCTTTTCCCCTCTTACTCCTCCTCGTCCCATTTAGCAGTCTTTCTCTCTTTCCTTCTTTTTCCTCCCTTCACCCCTCCACCCACCTACTTATCTTTCTTACTTCTTTCTTTCTCCCCCTCTTACTCCTCCTCGTCCCATTTACTGATCTTTCTCTCTTTCCTTTTTCCTCCTTCACCCCTCCACCCACCTACTTATCTTTCTTACTTCTCTTCTTTCTCCCCTCTTACTCCTCCTCGTCCCATTTACTGATCTTTCTCTCTTTCCTTCTTTTTCCTCCTTCACCCCTCCACCCATCTACTTATCTTTCTTCTTTCTCCCGTCTTACTCCTCCTCGTCCCATTTACTGATCTTTCTCTCTTTCCTTTTTTTCCTCCTTCACCCCTCCACCCACCTACTTATTTTTTCTTACTTCTCTTCTTTTCTCCCTCTTACCTCCTCCTCGTCCCATTTACTGATCTTTTTCTCTTTCCTTCTTTTTCCTCCTTCACCCTCCACCACCTACTTATCTTTCTTACTTCTCTTCTTTCTCCCCTCTTCTCCCTCCTCGTCCCATTTACTGATCTTTCTCTCTTTCCTTCTTTTCCTCCTTCACCCCCTCCACCCCACCTACTTATCTTTCTTACTTTCTTCTTTCTCCCTCTTACTCCTCCTCGTCCCATTTACTGATCTTTCTCTCTTCCTTCTTTTTCCTCCTACACCCCTCAACCCACCTACTTATCTTTCTTACTTCTCTTCTTTCTCCCCTCTTACTCCTCCTCGTCCCATTTACTGATCTTTCTCTCTTTCCTTCTTTTTCCTCCTTCACCCCTCCATCCACTCACTTATCTTTCTTACTTCTCTTCTTTCTCCCCCTCTTACTCCTCCTCGTCCCATTTACTGATCTTTCTCTCTTTCCTTCTTTTTCCTCCTTCACCCCTCCACCCATCCTTATCTTTTCTTCTTTCTCCCGTCTTACTCCTCCTCGTCCCATTTACTGATCTTTCTCTCTTTCCTTCTTTTCCTCCTTCACCCCTCCACCCACCTACTTATCTTTTCGTACTTCTCTTCTTTCTCTCTCTTACTCCTCCTCGTCCCATTTACTGATCTTTCTCTCTTTCCTTCTTTTTCCTCCTTCACCCCTCCACCCATCTACTTATCTTTCTTCTTTCTCCCCTCTTACTCCTCCTCGTCCCATTTACTGATCTTTCTCTCTTTCCTTCTTTTTCCTCCTTCACCCCTCCACCCACCTACTTATCTTTCTTACTTCTCTTCTTTCTCCCCTCTTACTCCTCCTCGTCCCATTTACTGATCTTTCTCTCTTCCCTTCTTTTTCCTCCTTCACTCCCTCCGCGGCCTCCACTCGTCTTTCTCCTCCTCTCCTCCTACTTATCCTCGTATCTCCTTTCTTTCTCGCTTGTCTTTTCTCTCCTCCTCACCCCATCTCCTTTTTCTTACCTCCCTCTTCCTTATATCCTAAACAATTCAAAATGCTTTTTTATCTTCCATTTTTTTTAACTCTTGACTCTTATGTCTAATTCTCACCTGTTTACCGATTTTGTTTTTATTCCGTTTATTTGCGTGATTAACGGTGAAATACGATCTTCTTTTCGTTCCTATTTCTTTGCTTTCATTTTTTTTTTCGTTCATTCTTTTTTTTTCCTTTTATCTAATTATTTATTTATCTTATTTAATTCAATTTTTATGCTACTACAGCGTTTTTTTTTTAACAACCTATATTTTTTTTCGGTCTCCTTTTCCAATCCTCACTTATATTTGCGTCGCTCTACGCATGCGCTAACAGACATTTTTTTTTTTTCTATGAATCTTTATTTGTTTCGTCGTGTTTTGGGGATTCCATTTTTTATCGGTCGTAAAGACGACAGGTTTGTGGGTGTGGTAAGCCGCTATTTTTGTATCTTTCTGCCTTTCTACCTCACTGGGTTTCTAGTTTTATTCTTTATTCCTTAAATTACTTTTTATTTATTTTTTCCAGCAGTTTTTTTTAATTTCTTATTCTCTTTTATTTTTATTACTCCCTTCTGTACTTATTTCTTTTCGACTTATTTCTCCCCTTTCGTTTTTTGTATCTTCCTGAAAGACAACACAAGGAATTTGTCCTTTCGCCTATTTTATTTTATTTTTATTTATTCATTTTTTTTATTTTTTTTATTTTGCTTTGTCAGAAA